CACAGCTTGGACAAACTGTTCTTATTACAAGTCATTCAAAATGGGAGTCTGGGATGAACTTACAGCACCAGAAAATTTAGTGACTCTTCTAAGGGCCCTGACTTGAGTAGAAGTTGAGGGTCTGACACGTCTGTGTTGCTCAAGTGATTCAACTTGCAGTAGCATGAGGAGTTCTAGCTTATGGTGCCCTAGACAGAGGCTCAAGTGTTCTTCAGCTAAACAAAGTCTATTTATGTCCAAAGAACGTCTATTTTTAGGAAAGAAAGGCTTATTTGTCTCTGGAAAAAGAGACATGTTTCTTCAGTGATGGTGTTTTTCCCCTCCCCTCTCCCGGGGAGCTGAAGTTTAGTCATTGTGTGTGTTCGTCATTGACACGTGGGGTTTGGGTCTGCTGCTGCATGGCATCCCTGGGTGAAAGAGTCTGTTGCACAAACCTTTGAGATAGCGATGTGTAAACACCCTTCTGATTGGGGCCTTTGTGGGCAAGATTTTAAGACGTATTCTAAATGTTTTGGAGCAATATTTGCTGGAAAAGAAGATTCATAAGGTTTTTTTTTTTTCCCATAATCATATTGCTAACCAGTCCAGGCTGTTAACTGTTCATCCTGTCTTTCACAGATCTACTACTTCTCTCTCTGTGGGTGAAGGGATGAGTCCCAGAGCACTAGTTAGAACAGTGGCAGATGAAACCAAACCTAAGACTGTGTGTGCTTCTAAGGAAACCTGGCATGGGTAAGAGGAGCTTGGGATTATCAGACTACTCCAAATGATACTGCACTGGAAGGGAATTTTAAATTGACAAGGTTTCTAGTAAGTACACCCCTAAACAAGGAACCTGACTGTGCTTTATTAAAGAACTGTTTTAAAACTGCACCCCACCTCTTTCTGTTCATATAGGACTGCTATTCTTATTTGCAGTTATGTGAAGTGAAATGAAATGCTGGTCAGCTGTAGGTTGCTAAACGTTAGAGATGTTTCTCAGAACAAATGGGAGTTGCTGGTTTTGAATCAGACAATGATGAATGCACCTCTTTCAATCGTCTTTTGACATTGCAGAAGCTCTCATTGTGCCTTGGGAACTAGATTAAAATAAAGAATTGATTTCTGGGGTGTCTATGCAGAGAACTTCATGCTCATCTGAAACAAAAGCTCCCTTTGCCCTTGATTCATTAGTTTTGTGCTGCCTTCTTGTGCTTTGTCCTTCTCTTAGGGGTTATTTTGTCATGTCTCACATGCTTTACTCATTTTCTAACCTTAAAAACCCTCTCTTTTGGGTTCATTGCTCTAGTGTTCCTTTTGTATTTTATAAGCTGCTTGGCTAGTACAAAGGCAGATTCCAAGATAGCAGAGCACTCTGAGCTTAAGGCTCTTGCATGCAGTGTAGATGCAGTAGGGATTTTGCCCAGTGCTATTTGTGACCCAGCAATAAGTCTTGTGGTGAACCTCCATTCCCCTTTGTGTCTTTCCCTGGCAGGTCTATGAAGAAGCCTCCGAGAGGAGTCGTGAGAACTCAGCGTCGCAGGCGTTCCAAGTCTCCCATCCTTCATCCTCCCAAGTTCATCCACTGCGGCACAAAGTCGCACTCCCCGTGCAGCCAGCTGGTGCAGAAGAGCCAGGTGGACGCCCAGGACGACAGCAGTGGGTTTGGGATGCCAGTCCCCAAGGAAGCCGGTGCACAGGAACGATGCAGTTCAGCTCCTGACCTTGGCCAGAAGGGAGCTGAGGTTGAGTCTGTGGCGGTTTCTGTTACGCAGTTGACGTCGGAGAACAGGCAGGAGAACTCTCCAGCTGCAGCTGCTCCGGTGTCCAAAGCCAGCCTAAAGACTACGGAGCTTTCTGACTTCCAGTCCATGTGCAAGCTGAACACGAGTAAGCCGTGTGCGTGTGCGGGCAGAGCCTGCCAGTGCAAACTGTGGCAAGACATGGAAGTGTACAAATTCTCTGGCTTGCAGAACACCCTCCCAGTGGCACCCGACAGAACAGTTCCTGAGGATCACTCCCAGCCTTTGCCATCAAGAACTCCCTCAAGTTCTCCACGCTCTTGCTCTGAGCAAGCCAGGGCCTTTGTGGATGATGTGACAATTGAAGACCTTTCGGGGTACATGGAGTATTACTTGTATATCCCAAAGAAAATGTCTCACATGGCAGAAATGATGTACACCTGACAGCAGTGAGCACCAACGAGCACCGGAAGGGTGGCTGGTTTAAATCTGCTGTCACACTCACGTGAGGATCCAACCCACTCCCTGCTCACTGTGCTTGCAATAAAAACACTTCTTTGCATCTCAACTGATGGTTAATTATTGAAGCTGGACCAACAGTTCAGTTTCAGCATTATAATTTAAGCTTGGAATAGATAACGAGGTAAAACGTACCCTGCCTGTACTTGAGGTCCAACACTTGGGAAATTCTATTTTTGTTTTCAAAATCATCTTTTCGTTTTGCTGGAGGAAGAGAGTCCCTGTTTTGCATGGTGATTAGAGCCCTTATTGTCAGACACCTGGTGTAATTCAGTTTCTTTGGAATCACTTTCACCTCAGGTTTTAACTTAGGCTTGTCTTTTTGGATGCTTGTGCCTCCGATTTTCTTTTTTTTTTTTCATAAAGGAGTGTGACCGTCTCCCCTTGGTGCTGTTACCACACTGGGCAAATTCAGGAGATGCAGTCATCTCTTCTTGAGTGGAGGCAGTGGTATTTCTTTGTGCCTAAAGAGGCTTTATTTCTGGTGGGCTGATCGGGCATCCTCCTTCCCTGTCTGGGGTAAGGTTAATGTAGTCAGATGCTCTTGGGTTAACAGCATCTCCTTGCTGGGCTACCTGTTGAGAAAAGAACCTTGCGTGATTAAAGCCAGATTGTTTCAAGAGGTTTCTGATCTCTGTAGCATTGCTCAGTGGAAAATATTAGGAAAGTGGAAAGCAAAGCTTTAGAGACTCGTCTGCAGGAGGAGAAGCACCCTATGCCCTTTAGGGGAATTGCTGCTGCTGTTAACCATAGAAGACGAGTCTGTGGGCTCTGTTCAGTGGAGTTTTAATGAAGGCCAAAGCTGCATTTGCTCACTTCAGTGGTCTTAATTCACACACTCTGGTGTTTGTTTTTTTTTTTTCACCTTCTTTTACATCCTGCTCTAACACCCAAGTACAACCCTTCCTTCAAGTATCAAGACCCACAGACTCGAGTGAACAGTTGCCAGTTGTGGGGAAGTCTTGAGCACCGTGTTTTCTTTCTCCTCCAGTCTTTTTGCTAAACCTTTGCATTCCTCCTGGAATTTACTGCTTCAGAAGCAAGCAGCTTGCTATCCGCAGTGTGCATCAGCACAGTGTCTCTTTTGTAAGCCTTTAGCACAGGAGCAACCCATCAAATAATATAATTTGTTGAGGAGGAGAAGAGTTATGTTTGGTTTGTCTTCACTGTTTGCAGTACCTGAACTTTTCTGCCCTGGTGAGGTCTGGAGAAGAAAAGGGCACAAACATTTCCCTGCAAAATCCTTTGGTGTTGCTCTTGGGTTGTTTTGTCGTTCCTGTGGCAGAACCTGGTATCTTAGAACAAGTGGCTTTGTAAATTTACCTGTTTTGCCAGTTCTGAAGTGTCATGTACCCCTTGCAGAACGTACCTGGGTCCCACATCTCCTTTCTGTGTCCCTGCTCTTCAATAGCTGCATTTCTGGCCCCGTGTTCCAGATTCAGGGCAGTTATTTGGTAACTGTTTTGGTAACTATTGTCTGCAAAGTGACCTTATTTCTCAAACAATTATTCTTTACTGTTTCCAGATGCAAAATTCCAACCACAGCGCCACTGGGGGGCTGAAAATGCCTTTCAAGACCGAGCTGCTTTTTACCTTTTCTTTTGTTAGTCACAGACCTGCAGGGTTTAGGGTTGCACTGTCCACTGCTCAGTACTGCGTTAAAGGGGTTTGAAATCCAGGAGATAATGCAAAGATGCAGAGTAGAAAGACGTGAACTGGTGGTGACTGTGGAGGGAGAGGAGCAGTGCTGGGCCACTAGAGGTCAGTCCTGGCCGCGTGGGTTGGCTGCTGACACGGGATCAGCCTTCAGGGGAGAATTTAAATTTATCTGCCAGAATGAAGGAATAAGACCAGCTCTGTGTGGTGGTGCCCGTGTGCACACACACTGTTAGTGCTTTCTGAAGTTTGGCTTCGCTGGTGGTCAAAAAAACCTCTTTAAACGCCAACATCTGCATAAGCTATGGATGTTTAAACAAACATTCAACGAGGTGTTTAAACACTGAAGTGTGCAATCCCTTCACAACTGTGCTATGTGATTAGGAAAAGTTGCTAAGTAAATAATTACGTGGTCCCGAACTTGGCATCCTCTAGGGACAGTTACGACATCTCTGGGCTCCTGAGTGCTGCAACACCATGGGTAGCTGCAACTGCTGCCTTAACACTTTCCCTTCTGTTCCTACGAGGTGTTTCAGGATGTTTTGGTCTTCCCAGAAACCACAGAACTAAAACCTCTGGTTTTGCTTTGAGAAAACGGGAGTTTCCAACCCTTGATCATGCAGCAAGAACTTTGAAAACATGCCTGAGTAATCTAAAAGCTTGGATTCACAGGAAAAAAAACATCAAACTAGAGCCAATTTCAGGGTCTGACCCTTTTTTTATTTTTTTTTTTTTTTTTAATTAAGAAAGCTTTTGAGGGCTGGTTCTGCCAAGCAGCACTTCTGAGTAGCATTGGAGTCCCTTACCAAAGTGCCTCTTCCTGCCTGTGGCTGAACAGAAGTGAAGCCTTTTGTAATTAGCTTTGTAGGGGACACTTGGTCCTTCTCACCTGTGCCTGCAGGTGTTCTGTGTTTATGTGCTGGCGACACACACTTAGCTTTTCCTGCAGTTATATCTACTGTGTGGTTCCTCTGTAGGTTTTCCTCCTAGAAATGCCAGTGAGGTTGTCCAAGTGGTAAAACTGTGCTGTGTGAGTCTGAAACTCCCCACTGCCTTTGGCAGCTTTGCCCCAGAGCTTGGTGTGGGTTTGGGGAGCTCCCCTGGAAGGGCAGGGCGTGACATGGAATGGCACAGCCTGCTGACAGCACCCCCCAGCTCCTGCAGCTTCCCAGCGTGCTGGGCAGTGAGGGGAAGGTCATCTCTCCGGGGTCTTGCTGTGAGTGCCTTTAGTGAATTGTTACAAAGTGGGCTGTCACTGCCCACTCTCTCTGCAACTGTCCCAAAGACACGGTCTCACCTTTCTTTTCCACACATAGTGAGGCTCAATCATGCTGCCAGCTGTTAAACAGAAGATTTTGGGAAGTGTGCTGTTTTGGGGGAGAGAAGAGTAAATGACTGCTAGTGAATTCCTTTCCTTACCCTAAAGCAGCTTTGGAAAGTCTCCGAGACAGAAGCAGAGGGGCAGAGTGAGCCGTTCGCTGCGCTCTGGGTGCCGGCTGTGCTCTTTCTCCTTCCATCTCTGCCCACTTTTACACGCCCGGGCGCTCCATCCCCGCATCCCGCGGGGCTCGGCGGAGCGGACTCGGCTCCTGGGGGGGAGCGAGGCGGCCCCTTCCCAGGCTCTATTTTAAGCAGACATTTACTTTCCCAGCCTCTTCTCCGCCTGGATCCCTGCCCGGGGCGGGGGACGGCGGGAGGGGTGGGATGTGTCTCTCTCTCCCTCCTTCATAAAAGGGCCCCGAGGCGGGGGCCGGGCTCCAGGGGGTTATTTTTGGGAGCAGCTCCTGGGATCCGATGGCCTTGTTAGGGCAGCGCTGACCTTTCTCCCGGCGGGGGAGGAGAGCGGAGCGGGCCGGGGCGGGCGGCAGCGGCCGGGCGGGGGAGAGCGGCCGGCTCGGGACCCCCTTCCCTTCCTCTGCCGTGGGCTCGGGACCCCCTTTCCCTCCCCGCGGGGCTCGGACCCCTTTCCCTTCTCCGCCGCGGGGGTGGCTCCGCGGGCGGCCCGTGCCCGTGCCCGCCGGGCAGGTACCGGTGCGGAGCGGCTGCCCCGACGGGGGGGGCTGGGGCTCGGCCCGCCCTCCTCCCCTCCCTCTCTCCCAATTTCTCCTTCCTCCCGTGCCTCAGCCCCTCGGCCGGGCCAGGCGAGGCAGGAGCGGCCGCTCCCGGTGCCCAGCCCGCTCCCCCCGGGGATGCGGCAGCCCCGGAGCGCTGCCCCTGGGAACGCTGCCCGGCTGAGGGGCACCGGAGGGCACCATGAGCGGCGGCAGGTTCGATTTCGATGATGGAGGCGCCTACTGCGGGGGCTGGGAGGGGGGCAAAGCCCACGGGCATGGCATCTGCACCGGCCCCAAGGGCCAGGGCGAGTACTCGGGCTCCTGGAACTACGGCTTCGAAGTGGTGGGCATATACACGTGGCCCAGCGGCAACACCTACGAAGGCTACTGGTCCCAGGGCAAGAGGCACGGCCTGGGAATCGAGACCAAAGGACGGTGGGTTTACAGAGGCGAGTGGACCCACGGCTTTAAGGGACGGTACGGCGCGAGGCAGAGCATGAGCAGCGGAGCCAAGTACGAGGGCACCTGGAACAACGGCCTGCAGGATGGCTACGGCACCGAGACCTACGCTGACGGAGGTGAGGGTGGCTCCGGAGGGGCTGGGAGGGGGATGAACAGCAGGACACCCAGCAGAGGTTGTTGTGTGTGCCCTGATTTTCCCAGCTGGGCACAGTGTGCGTGGCTGGCTGTCCTGACAGGCACGAGGGAGGAGCGGCAGGAGCGCTGCCCCGCCATCCCTCCCGCGGGACCTGCTCTCCAGTGTCCGTATCAACATTTAACACCAGCCAACTGGACTTGTGCAGTCTGTGGCTCCTGGTTCCCCAGGGACTGGGTATTCCTGGAGCGGCCCAGAAGCTCCTGGGTGGTGCACAACCCCAGTGCACCAGGCAGTGAGTTGTGAATGTTCTCATGTCGGATCTAAGCCAGCCAGGGCACCGTAGCGCTCTTTGCCCGTGCATTGAACGCTGCCTGCACGTCTCTGAGGGGCTGCCTGGACATCTCCTTTGCCAAACCGTTTTGACTGAGCCCATCTAAGCTGTTCAGACTATGTGGTCACACGCCTTTCCCTAAAATAAATCCCTCTGATTACTTGGAAGCTTTCAACCCCTGCTACTACACAAACGCACCACGTACTCAGATATTTGTTGTGCTCTGTAAAATGCTCGGTCTAATTGTGTTCTTGCATTAGTGGCAATTTTTGGGGTTAAAAACATGGCAAGAATTTCTGTGAAAGTAATTCTGTAGCTCTTCAGCGCTGTAATGTTCCAGGCTGCCACATTTAGGATGGCTAAATAGGGAGGGTGATTTGAAAGAAATACCCTTCAAAATACAGATCAGA